CCCCCCTGCCCCTTTCCCTTGCTTGCGTCCCCTGCCTCAAAACACCTGTGTGTGTGTGTGCGCGCGCGCGCGCGCGCACACACACGCGCTCTCTCTCTCTCTCTCTCTCTCTCTCTCTCTCTCTCTCTCTCTCTGCATTGTCCTCCTTGCAGTTTCTCAGAGCTGGCTTTCATCTCTGAGTGTTTTCATTATTATTTTTTTCGTCTAGAATGATTTTCTTCCAGATGTCCCTGTGGCTAACACCCTTATTTCCTTTATGCCTCTCCTTAAATGTTATTTTTCCATCAGTGAGACCTTCCCTGACTACCCTTGGTAATAGGTAAGCTCCCTCCCTCTCTCCTACCCCCAGCATCCCTATCCCTATTACACTACTTTATCTTTCTCTCTTGTATTGTATTTCTTTGTTTTTCTCTATTGTACTTATGACATTCTGACATATAATTACTTATTTGCCCTCTCCTCATTACTACAACTAGAATGTTGTAGTAATGCCCATGAGGGCAGGGTCTTTGTTTTCTGGTGTAGAACAATGCCTCACATATACTAGACAATCAAAAAAATAGACGTTAAATGAACATCAATCTTGTGTAGGATTAATATCTTAAACATTACCTGGAAAAGTTGACTACCTAAATAAGAAATGACTTTTGAAAATATTTTTCATTTTTTATCATTTGTAATTGTAGCTAAAAATTTTGGTACTGGATATCTAATATCACTTGGCATCTTTCTTTTTTAATTTCTTATTTGTAAATTAAATTTTCTTGTATCAGTGGAACAGATTCTTGAAATATTTCCTAGCCTACCATATCTTTATCTTAAAAGCAATTTTTTTTTCAGATGACATACCCCTTGAGCTAATTAATATAGAACTTAATATGATCAATCCTTATTTGGTGGTTTATCACACAGCAAACTTTATTTTTTCCCCACTTTCACTCACCTAAGATGATTGTCATAAAACTGGAACTTATTAAAATGTTTTTCTTGCTTAAATTCAACAAAGAAAATAGAAGACCAGATTAATACCTATAATTTAATGTTCTTGAATGATGTTCCCACTGTTTCAAGTCTAGTGAGTTCCTACTGTTTTATTTGATTATATGATGTTTATTTTTGTATAACATAATTTTAATTCCTACAGTACACTTTAAGATTTAAAGCAACTTATCTCAAAACTCTTTCTAAACAACTTAGATCATAGTCAGCTAGGGAACAGTTTAAAAATGGGCCTCATCTCAATCAGAATCTCTGAGGATGGGATCTGAGAACTTCACATGTTTAATTCTTATGCACTAACATTTGATTTAGAGACTGGGGCAACCATTTCTACATATTACTCATAGAAATAATTAATTTTTTGTATGGAATTTTAAAGCAAAAGACTGTTAGTTTGAGTATAGAGTTTCGAGTTTCGCTGTTGAAATGAAATTGCTCAAGTGTTTTTTAGTTGTTGGTGTTAAACTTACTGGTTGATGTATTTGTCAATTCCCAGACGATATTTGAACAGTTTCAACACAGTCGAGAAAAAGCACTTCCTTCGGATAACATAAGGCATGCTCTTGCAGAAAGTTTCAAAGATGAGCAGCGATTTCAGCTTGGCCTTATGGATGATGCTGCAGAGTGCTTTGTAAGTATTTCTGATGATCCTTAAGTTAGAATGGCAGTTGGCATTCCTTAAATTATGCACCTTTTGAGACAAATGAAACATAAATTTATAGCAGTGGAAAAGTATCAGAACTGCTCGGTAGATACCTGTCTCACCTACCCTTCAAAGCTCAGTTTAAGTCCACGTGTGTTTTGTGTACTTTTGCTTTTGATTATTTGTGCTGCTCTAATTTTTCAGTTAGGCTACTAAAATACTTTAAAATTTATTTATTGGAGCAAAAAGGCTTATTATGTATAAATCATAGCACTTAAGTCGTTCTGTTCCACGGGATTTACATATGCAACACACTCTCCCAGTAACATTTCTCATTACATGCAATGATTCTCTTTGAAGAGCAGAGGATCTTGATGGGCAGCTGTCAGGGGCAGCAATTCTGATATACACCTTACTCCAGGTTGAGAATCACTCACTGAGGTTGATGTTCTGAGACTGTGTTACCACCATATTGATAAGTAGAGCATTCCTTTGATTAGGGATGTACCTTATATACCTTCTTAAATATGCATGTTGATGTTTAATCGTTTCAATAACATAGATGTCACCTATATTTAAGATAACTATTTCTTCTCTTAGTTTTATATCTCTTCAGCAAATTCTGTGAATTCTTTCATCAGAAACCCTTTTAAGGTTTGCCTCGCCATGTTATTTCCCTGTCACCATTTCTGTTTAGCTCGGGCCTCTACTCTCAGCATTATTTAAGCCTCCTTACTAGTGTCCTTTTAACCTATATCCTAAGAGTCTTTTTTAACAGCCACCATATTAATATACTTTTTTTTCAGATAAATGCTTGCACTTCAAATATTTCTGTGATTCACATCTGACTCTCTTCTGACATTTAAGGCTCTTTAAATTCAAACTCCAGTTTATCTCTTTGCTGTCTTCCTGAATTTTCCCTTCTGGTGAGATAGTTTCAGTCCATTCCTCAAACATGTCTTTTAAATTCCTGTTTTATAGCCTTTGCTCAAGTTCCTGAAATATTCAAAACTTTCCTAATCTATTATTTGTTAAAGTTCAACATAAGCCACATCTACTAGATAATGCATCATCAAAGCATCCCAATCCATTCTCCAAATATTTGAAGAATTTATTACTCTATAGAATTCATTTGGCATTTATGTTTTTTTTAAATGAACATCTCGAATGCTTAGCACACTTGCCATGTTGACTAAAATATGACAAAAACAACACACACAGTCATGAAATATGCTTTTCATACTTCTCATGTTTATAATTGCTCCACTGCTTAAAATATAAATGGATATATTTTGTACAATACTGAACTTTATAGTCTTAGTTTCACTTAAGTGAAGTATACTAATCCATGATATGATTATTCATGGGATATCTAGAAATCCAGGCTTAAATAATTGAATAGTTATAAATGTCCTGAGGAGGGGGAAGTTAACTAATTAAAATAATCCATTGGTTAAGTTTTGGTAAAAAGGATAATTTGTTAAAGAAATTAATACCCCTTATTGATCTATATTACAAATCCACACTTTCATAAGAAGTTTGTTGAAGAGCAGATTACTTGCATTCGGGTTGTTAGTGCAGATATTATAAGCCTTTATCATTGATGTTTTGATTTAAGTTATATAGACTATCCAAATGATCCAAGTAGGATTTTTTTAATTAATTGCTTTTTCTCAATGTGAGAATGCTGGGAACATAGGAAATCTTGTTTTCTAATATTAAATTCTAGATGTCAGCACCATGAATTGATTTTTTAAATCTTTATTAAAATCATGTTACATTATAATGTTTTGCTAAAATTTTTTTAAAATCGAATGCTGCAAAAGGTGAATAATTGAGCAACATTTGAAGGCTTGGTTAAAGAGGGAAGCTGAAAAGCTGACAATGTATATGGCATTTCTAAGTTTGACACTTTGGAAAATACTTAGATTTTTCAATTTGTAAAGTTAAAAAGAGTTGTATTTTGAAGTGTCCTATGCAAGATTTGCAACTCATTTGTTTTTTAATTTTTTAATTAGGAAAATATATTGGAGAGGATTCATTTTCACATAGTGCCAAGCAGAGATGCAGACATGTGTACCTCTAAATGTTGTATCACTCACCAGAAGTTTGCTATGACTCTGTATGAACAGGTGAGATGCCTTAACTGTTTTATTAGATGCTATATTTATGTTTTATGATTGATAAATTAGACATATATTTTTACCTGCAGTGTGTGTGTCATAGCTGTGGAGCATCATCAGATCCTCTACCCTTTACAGAATTTGTGCGGTACATTTCTACAACGGCCCTATGGTAAGAACCTACTAAAGCATATTTACCAAAGATGTTAGTCATGTATGTGATCACATTGAGCCTTTATTTTATGAAACTGTAGCATATATGAATATCTACTCTCTGAGATTAACAAATGTGCTACCATCAGGGGTACTAAGTGATGTCTATCTCAGTTGTTTCTGACTTAACCAAATATAGATGTCACTCAGTGAAATGTACAGAATATTAGTCAAAATGTATATTTATTTATATTTATAGCAAGTTTTTGAAACCGTGAAGGAGAGCTTAAAATGACAAGTTCAAGGGTAAATGGAATTGTACATGATTTCTTCATTTTTGCTAAGGTGTTACCTTTGTAGTGGCCATGTCTCCTGTCGGCTCCACCATGTCCCTGCGTAGTGATGGAAGCTAGGGTAAGCAGACAAGAAAGAAAAAAGTGAAAATAATCCTCTGTTAGGTTTATTGCATTTAAGGCCATAACACTCACCTGAAATAAAAATTTGCCATGCTTGTCTGTCCCCTCCCTCCCTAGCCATGAAACATCAGCTTAGGGATCCAAAAATGATCTCTAGACTTTACATAATAAGAGTTGTTTGAACACGGCAACAGGTATTTGAGAGTGTAAATATTTGATGTATGATAAACATTGAATGAGATCATAAATGTTTGCAGATACTTTAGTACAAAAGACAACACATGGGTCAATAATTATTAATCAGAATACATCAGTACAGCAGTTAGTTGCTAAATGCTACCAATATTTTTATCATTGCACAAAGAGAATATTAGGTGCTCATCCATTTCATTGTATTATTAAACTTCTTTGATTTATTTTGGATATAGCACATTATTTCTTAAAGATCATTGAATATAGCAAGTTGGTAATTTGGATGTATACAGAGTTGGGAAACATCGATTTAGAGGAACATTCTTTAAACTTCAGTCATTTGTAGTCAGTTTCATTCACTTTGTTTGAAAAGTAGGGTGTTTGAATCAGGATAGACCACAAATTAAAAGCTGTAAACCTTTAAGTCTACTTTGAAACTCTTGTGTAAAATGACAGTACTCTGAGACAGTATTAGGTAATAAGAATTAGAGTTCCATCAATCTCTCCCTGGTCCATGCCATGAATTGCGAAAGCCCAGAATTTGAATTCTAATTATAATCTCTTTCTTTTTATTGGTGATAAGTATTGAATACTAGTTGTTCAATGCTTACTATGTTCCAGGCTTTACATAAATTGTTGCTTTTAATCTTAACAAAAACTTTTGTTGATCAAGAAATAGGCTTAATATGGTTAACCTGGTAAATGGATGAATTAAGATTGAAATCCAGGTCTGGGTTCATTTCAAATTCAAAATGTATCTGGTTAACCACCACTCTGATGCTGTCAATTTTGTAAAAAACCATTATGTGCATTTTGAATGAGCCTGTCAGATTTAGTGCTTTCTAGTCTACTTGTGAAGTGCTTTAGAAGAATTGGTACTTTTAGTTGTTATTGAATATTGTATATTAGTTACCATTGAACTGTAAAATACATCCAGCTCTAGGACAGTTAAAATTACTATTAAGTAAAACCAGAGCACCACGAATGGAAACTAGTAGGCGTATTGAGCTTACATTATATATCTTTTTGGAAATGTTTAAATAGTTGTTTAAAGATACTTAATACTTTGATATGTAAAAATTTGACTCTAGGAGAAGTTGGATACAAAATGGCACTGATACCCTGCCTAGACTCTAATGAAATGGTTAGTAGTCATAATAGGAACAAAAGGCACAAGCCTCATTTAAGTAGCTTTGGTTGTGACTTCTGCATTAATCAGCAAAGGGCCCTTCTCTTAGCTGAAAATAACTTTGTTTATGGGAACTTTAGGCCAGAGAGGGAGCCTTTCCTAAAGTTTCTTGTTCTTGTTAGGCAAAAGTTTAAACTCAAGTCCCTCTTTGTTAAGTAATAATGTAAAAGAAACTGTTAACTTAGAATTACCTTCAGATGGAACATCTTAACCTCATTCATCTAATTCCAAACAATGGTATGATTTCATGTTATTTTATTCTGTTCTTGACCTAACGTTTTTCATCATAACCTGCCAAATATCATAATTTTTCATTTCATGGAAATTTACTTCACGGTTAATTTTTCAAACAAAATTGTGTTTTAAGACAGAAAAAATGATCATACCTATATTGATAACTTAGTATTTTTGATGCAAATTTACTGGATATTTTTTAAGTTCGTAGGCCAGATTTGGGACTGCTTCTTTCTTTTGTAGCAATGAAGTTGAAAGAATGATGGAAAGGCATGAACGCTCTAAGCCTGAAATGTTTGCAGAATTGCTGCAAGCAGCAAATACAACTGATGACTATAGGAAATGTCCTGTAAGTATAATTTGGAGAACATTAGTGTGCTTCTGTATTTGTAAATTTGAAAATAGACATTCAGAAATTACCACGTGAATATTAATTATATCTGGAAATAATTTGAAGAATTTATTTTTTCAGTGTTTTCTTAGGTAACTCTTTATACCATGTGAGCTCTTATTTCTTTAAAAACTTGTAACACTGAGAAGGATTTAAGGTAGCATATGTTGATTAAGTTCTGAAGTCTATCATTTGACTAAAGAGAGAATTTCTTTTTTGTTTTTCTTTAAATAAACATTACAGATGGTATTATTCTTTCCTCATGTAACATTGTTAATGGCTTCAAGGGCTTTATATCTGCTTTTTTTTAGGTTGAATTCTTGTTTTAACAGATTTACAAAAATACCAAAGAAAAATACTTTGATTTAAAATAAACTTTATGTTTAATCAATAACTAAGACAAATACTTTGCTAGAAGTCTATTTTAATATGCTGAAGAAATAAATTTCTGATACATGTTAAGAATGTTATTGAATAATACAAACTGTATAAGGCATTACCTGTGGTATATCTGTTTTGATAATTTCAAAAGTTGTCTTTTGTGTTTTTCTTTAGAGTAACTGTGGCCAAAAAATAAAAATTCGGCGTGTTTTAATGAATTGCCCAGAGATTGTTACAATTGGTTTAGTCTGGGACTCTGAGCATTCTGACTTGACCGAGGATGTTGTTCGGAATCTCGCAACGCATCTTTATCTGCCCGGGGTATATAAACTCTTTTCATTCTCTTTCTTTTTATTTTTAAATTCCTCTAAAACATCTTCATATATTATAAGGCACTTTGTTTTTCAGAACTAAATTTTCTTTCTAAAGGAAATAATTTGCTGATGTAACTCTGATAAAGTTAATCAAATCAGGCTAACTGGAATGCCTTTCTTGCTTAGACTAGGAATGGCTTTCAGTTACAAACTAAACCATCATGTGCTCTATCCCTGTATCACTGTAGAGTGATGATGATATGATACTATATGCATGTGTGTATGATAATGATTATAAATATAAATATTAAGCTAGAAAAATTTAAGATTTAAAATTCATCTACAGCTCTGATCACTTAATATGCTTTTTACTATCTTAATATATTTTGAATTGGTTTATATTACAATTAAACTTTTAAATAGTTATCTTGAGGTAGTATGTTTAATGTATGTTAAAATATGTGATTCAATCATGAATTATTGGGAAATGTGTAATTTACCTCACATTTTGAGTTTATGTATGTAAAGTGTCAATTCTGTGTTAGAGATACTGTGCTACTAAACTAAGTTGTAGTAAATACATTTCATTGGACTTAATGTTTCTTGTGGACTAATTGAAAGTAGTAATTCTGTTAACAGTGCAATGTGGTGTCTTTAGTACTAATATAATATCAGTTTGGGGCAGTATGCATGAGAAATATTTTTCATAGAGAATCAAGTGCATGACTTATCAAATAATTGTTCCTCATTTTAAAAAAGATACAGTATTAAATATACATTACTTTTAAACAGCTTTTTTATAGGGTTACTGATGAAAATGCCAAAAATAGTGAACTTCACCTTGTTGGCATGATTTGCTACACTAGCCGACATTATTGTGCCTTTGCTTTTCATACCAAGAGTTCCAAATGGGTATTTTTTGACGATGCAAATGTGAAAGAGGTAAGTGACGCTTTACTAAGTGGAATATTTATTGTGATTTTTACTTTTTAGGAATAAATGATATAATAATGAAATAATTATATAAAATAATTATTATATGTAAGTATTTACATAAAATAGAAATAAGTGAATTTAATAGCATCATTTAAAGTCCTCCAGTATTAAAAATTAGAAAGCCAAATAGATGAAGCAACTACTTTAGACACCGGACGACAGGCAGTTGAACAGAAAAAAGGGAAACCAACAAGATGAAGCCTACAATGATCCCTGCCTACTGCCTAGAGGTAGTTTCTGGATTGCAGTGCAGCGAGGGAGAACCCAAACAAAGCCTAGTAGTCTCACTGAGTTGAGGAAACCGAAATTAGAGTTCAAGGAGGCCAAGATGGCTAAAATTTGCTGGACAGATTACCAGAAAGAAAGCTGCATGGAGGGAAAGTCCTGGAGATTGGCAGAGGGATTCCCTTTAATCTATGGCTGAATAGTGATCCACCATGTGTAGGGTAAATGAGCACAAGGTGGCAGAAGGGACCACTGGAAAACAATTCCCTAAACTCATATGGGGCTAGAATAGTTTGCCTCTGTACTAGCAAGAGTGGATACACAGGACATCAAGTTGAATCCTCAGAAAAATATCACCTTAATGGTGGGGCTAAATTATTCCTAGACTGAAGATTGCTCTGGACCTGACATAAAAAGCTTAAAATGATGCCTTCAAAGGACCAAGATGGTACCATATGACATAACACATAACTACATGTGAACAATTTAAAAGGAAAACAAAATAGTTCAATAGCTAAAAATGTAAAATTCAGTGAAATTTCAATATGCCATTTCAAAGTAGCATTCACTAAAAAATTACCGAATATACAAAGAAGTAGGAAGACATGACCCATGCCCTGAAGGAATATCAGTAACAACAGACCTTCTATGCCATTTCATTTCTTCAAATCACATGAATTGGGGTGAGCAGGCAGAGTAGGGAAATGGAGCACACCTTCTTTTCTCTCAGAAACTTCATCAGCACCTCAAAAACGAGGGTTCATACTAATAACTGATCTCGGAGGTCAGTTCCAGGCCAGATCTGATATTAAATTGCCTTAGGAAAAAAAAAGACCAAAAATGACAGAAGTAGACATATCAGATAAGAAGGTTAAAACTGCTGTTTTGCTATAGAGAGATTTATTAAATAACAGTCAGTAAACATGGACCATAAAACTATCTGATAAATTGGACTTTGTCAAAACTTTTGCTCTTCAGTAAGGTACTGTTAGGAGAATGAAAAGACAAACCATAGACTGGGAGAAAATATTTGTCAAGCATATATCTAATAAAGGCTATATTCAGAATATATAAAGAACTCTTTTTTTTAATTTATGTATTTAATTTAGTTATTTTTGGCTGTGTTGGGTCTACGTTACTGCGTGTGGGCTGTCTCTAGTTGTGGCGAGCAGGGGCCACTCCTCGTTGCGGTGCGCAGGTTTCTCATTGCGGTGGCTTCTCTTGTTGCAGAGCACGGGCTCTAGGCGCACAGGATTCATTAGTTGTGGCACGTGGGCTCAGTAGTTGTGGCTCACGGACTCTAGAGCTCAGGCTCAGTATTTGTGGCACATGGGCTTAGCTGTTCCATGGCATGTGGGATCTTCCTGGACCTGGGCTCGAACCCATGTCCTCTGCGTTGGCAGGTGGATTCCCAACCACTGCACCACCAGGGAAGCCCAAGAACTCTTAAACTCAATAATAAAAAGACAAATCAATTAAAAAGTGGGCAAAAGATTTGGACATTTCACCAAAGAAGATACATGAATGGCCCTTGAAATGATATTCATACATCATTAGGCACAAAGGAAGTACAAATTTGATTCACAATGAGATTGCATTACTCACCTCTTTGAATGCCTAAAATTAAAAAGACTGACCATACCAAGAGCCGACAAGGACTCGTGAGGCTGATGGAAACGCAAAACTGAACAATCACTTTAGAAAACAGTTTGTCAGTTTCTTATAAATTTAAACATATACTTATCATACAGCCTAGCAATTCCACTCCTGTGAAAGCATGTATCCATACATAATTTGTACTTCAATGTTCATAGTAGTTTTACTCATAGTAACCAAAACTGGAAACAACTCAAACGTCTATCATCAGGTGAATATAAAGAAGTTGTACAACCATACAATGGAATATAATAATCAGCAATAAAAAGGAATGAACTAGTGATGCAACAATGTAGAAAAATCTCAAAAGCATTGCGCTAACTGAAAGAAGTGAGACACACAAACAGCTAAATAATATGATTCCGCTTCTATGAAATTCTAGAAAAGGAAAAAACAAAGTGACAGAGTAGACCATTGGTTGCCAGGCATTGCAGAGGGGTACAGGGAAAGTTTTGTAAGTGAGGATTACATGATTGTAGACATTTAGCAGAACTCACTGACTTGAACAGTGTAATCGGATGGTTTTATTTTATTAAATTATATTCAATAAAGCCAGTGAAAAAATTTAGAAATTCATATTCTAAAGTCCACACTTTGCTTGAATTACTTAGTACTTTGATATGGCAGTTTATTAAGAAGTTCCATCTTGAGTCAGTATGCAGCAACATTTTGGCACTCCTATTTTGCATCCTCATAGTTTAAATTGTCAAAATTTGAAGGAAGAACTGGGTAGTCACTTTCTGAGTTTCAGGTTTCTTTTGTTTTCAAACTACTCTAGTTCTTCAAGTATCTCAGAATCCCAGGTAAAGAGGGTAAACAGCTAAAAATGTGTAATTTGGAGCTTCCCTGGTGGCGCAATGGTTGGGAGTCCGCCTGCCGATGCAGGGGACGCGGGTTTGTGCCCCGGTCCGGGAGGACCCCATGTGCCACGGAGCGGCTGGGCCCGCACGTCCGGAGCCTGTGCTCCGCAGCGGGAGGGGCCGCAGCGGTGAGAGGCCCGCGTACCGCAAAAAAAAAAAAAAAAAAAAGTAAAAATGTGTAATTTGAACAAACTCCTCAAATTTTTTTAAAGACCCCTTCTCTAATGAAAAGCTGATATTCTAGAATGCTTTGTTTTTTGTTTTATTGGTTTTATTTTGTTTTTAAATGAACTTTATAGAGGTATAATTTACAAACATTAAAATGTACCCATTCTAAGTGTATAGTTTGGATTTTGACAACTGTATACATGCCTGTTTAACCTCCACAATCATTGTATAGAACATTTTTATCACTCCAGAAAATCCTGTCACGTCCCTTTACTGTCCCCAACCCTGGGTCCCAGGAAATCATTGATCTCATTCTACAGTTTATGTGAATGAGACATTCTCTGTGTTTGGCTTCCTTTGCTAGGCATAATATCTTTTTTTTTTAATTTCAAGATACTTTATTTATTTATCTTAAAACAGGTCACAACACTAAGCTTCTGGCCCATTCTGCCAATGCACAAGCTACAAATGCTTGCTCAGCAATTGAGGGGCACACTTTAGTAGTATGTTTGAAAAGTGAATAAAAATCCATGTAAAACAAATGTTCAAATAGTTTCCATATGAACACGGATAAGTGTGACCCCATCACCTAGTCTTACACATCGTTGCATCTGTGCCAACCCTATTTACATAGACATCTCAAAACTGGAAGAAATTAAGTTAAATGGTCCCCCCCAAACCCTCAAATCAAGCTAAACTCGCAGTTAACAGCTACAAGAATGGTATCTACACATTAATATGAGCTGAAGCACAGGCTTCTGGGTGCTGTTTCATTCTACTCTCCCAAGCACAGGACACAGGCAGAGTGCCAACATCCTGCTCCTCTACTCCGAGTGGGAAGTCATGGTTCTGGATTTGCTGCATCAGTTGCCATGTTGGCCCTGACGTCACATAGTAGATGGTCAGTCTCTGGAATCCATTGAAAGTAGAAGCAGCAGCGACTGCCATCCAGTCATCATACAGCCATCCAGTTGTTCCAGCACCATTTGTTGAATAGACTCTTATATTTCCCCATTAAATTGCTTGAAGTCTTTGTCAAAAGTCAGTCAACATGTATGAACAAAGCCTTTAAAATTTTGATAATCTAGATCTTGATATAGAAAGTGTAAAATCTTGCCCATCAGTTTTTAATGATAATGTTTATATGATTTTTATCTAGACTAGTTACTAAATAAAATTAATCATATAGTATGATGAACAGTTGAACTGCTAGTGTCTGAGTGTCTTTAAAATTTTTTAATATACAAAGTAATTCAGTCTCTGCCTTTTCATGTAACACATTGATTACAAGGTTTTGTTTTGTTTCTATTCATTTGTAATTTTTTAAGGTTGGAACTAGATGGAAAGATGTGGCCTCCAAGTGTATCCGATGCCACTTCCAACCACTGCTTTTGTTTTACGCAAACCCAGATGGCACAGCAGTTTCCACTGAAGATGCGCTCAGGCAGGTCATCAACTGGCCACATCATAAATCCGTTGCAGAAAATATAGGTAATTGTTTAAAAGTTCTTTTTAGTGTTTTTCTGTTATCACAGTCACACTAGGAATACCAATATACTGAATATGAAATGAATGTTGAGGATAATTTCAAAATTTAATTTCAGTAAAGTGGAGTTCAGGAAAATTCTAATACTTAGAGTTAGTCTTTATAAAGAAACCTTTCCTCCTCTGTGGCCTCAGAAGCACCTTCAGCAGCCACCCATGACTATGATCACACAAACACAGGAGGGGATACTTGGCTGGTAGCTCTTACTAGCAGTAAATATTGAGATTTAAAGTGAGTTAGTACACTGGAAAAGTCCAAAGCAGCAAGGCCATTTTTGAATGCCTTACAAAGCATGTAGAAGTCCTTAAAAGATGTCAGTCCTCTAAGTTTTAAAGTAATTTTCTCTATATTATTAAAAATGTCTGAAAAGATGATTCAAATATCTCTTCTGCTGGTGGGAGAGGAGGAAGGGGATTATACAGTTTTGTTGGTCTTTTTAAGGATGTGAAAAGCCCTCAATTCATAAGTCAGAGAATTCAAAAGAAAATGGATTTGGTGATCAGACAAAACAGAGAGAAAATCAAAAATTTCAAGCAGATGGTATTTCATCATTTAATCGGAGCCACATTCAAACAAGTGGCAGTAGAGGAACAGGTATGTATTTAAATTGTCATTTTTACATTGTCCTTGAATAGTTAAGCTTCCCTCTTTCTTCACTTACTGAATCTGTAATTCTTGGTAAGGACCACGAGGAGAGTCCTTAACTAGCTTTCCTTGGCCATGAAGAGAAAATAAAAAGTAGAAACAAAATTTTGTATTTTGACTTAAGCATTTCTCCGAGACCTGTATTTTTTTTTTTTTTTTTCTTGCGTTATGCGGGCCTCTCACTGTTGTGGCCTCTCCCATTTGCGGAGCACAGGCTCCGGACGCGCAGGCCCCGCGGCCCCGGCTCACGGGCCCAGCCGCTCCGCGGCACGCGGGATCCTCCCGAAACGGGGCACGAACCCGCGTCCTCTGCAACGGCAGGCGGACTCTCAAGCACTGCGCCACCAGGGAAGCCCAGACCTGTAGTTTTATTTGAACCCTTTGACGCGACTAGTGTTTGAGTTTCTCCATGCACTCAAGGCTGTACGTAATAGGGTAGAGGCAACCTGGACTGTCACCAGAGAAAGCTATGATATGGCCTTTCCTTCAAGGAGTTAATTGTTAACTTGTAGAGGAAAAACATTTAGTTAATAATTTGGCTCATATGCCAAAATTAAATGTAGTATTAGTGAATGCAACAATAATTTGAAGTTACTATAGTTGTAGTTTATTTTTAACCTCATTTTTATTCAACTGTCTCTTGTTATTATCATTCCACAACTTTAATTTTCACAATCCAAGATCTGTGATTATGGTCCAACATGAAACAATCACAGCATGATGTACAGTTATGGTTTAGAAATATGCAAAACTCTAAGTGGGTGGATGTTGAGGATGATTTTGTAAGGAACTTTTAAATATATTAATGAAATAATGTCTAACCCTAAAAGTAACCCATTTAATCAAGGGTGATAAGATTCAGAATTAACAATTACCATTTACAATAAATGCTTTTAAAAGTTCTTAATGGAACTTTTTCCATTTTGTGTATTATTGATACTCTTATATTAAGCCATTATCTATTTTTCAAAGATACTTACTTTTACTAGAAACTGTATGTGTTTAAGAACACAAACGTTGGAGCCAGGCAATTTGTGTTAATAATCCTGGTTCTACACGTACAAGCTATGTGAACTTGGGCGAGTTCTTAACTTCTCTATGCCTCTGTTTCCGAATCCAAAATGAAGATAGTAATTGTACCTACCTCAGAGAAGTATTGATAAATGAGTTTAGACACTTAGAATAGCGCCTGGCACATACTAACCACTCAGTTACCTTTAGCTCTCATTATTTCAAGAAAAGTTCTCTTGTTTTCCTTTACATTCGCTGTAGAGCTATACATGAAGTTTTAAAACACAACTTGCATCTCTAGTGTCAGCATAAATCACATTGAGTTTTTAGTTAAGCATAAAAATGATTTCATTGTATAGTTTAATCTGTATTTTGTTAATATATAGCATCTTAAATTTTAATATAGTTCAATTTGTACTTTTATTGAGCAATTTGAAAAATGATCTGTATCATTATTAAAGAATGGTTTCTTTTACAGTTAAGTCAAGTCACAATGATCAAAGGGAAAAAATAAAAGACATTTCCAGAGAATGTGCTCTAAAAGCCATTGAACAGAAAAACTTACTTTCCTCACAAAGGAAAGATTTGGAAAGGGGACAAAGAAAAGATTTGGGCAGACATAGAGGTAACTTAAGAACTTACAGCGTTCATTGGAAAAGGGGCAGCTAAAATCTTACTTTAAAGCTAAGTTTTATAATTTAATATAATTTCTTTATATATTATATTTATTTATTTAGATATTATGTATCTTAGTATGATTTCTTTAATATACCTATTAAACCTATAAATGTAAAGTTTTCCTAGTTCTTATTCAATTCTAGCCTGGAATACTTGTGTTTTTTATGTTTCAACTTTACTTTTAACTATAAATTCAATTCACCCGTATGGTACATTCAAATAATAAGGAAGGTTATAAAATTAAGTGAAAAGAACTTCTTTTCCTGCAACCCTTGACCTTCACTCTGTTCCACTGTTAATAGTTTCCAGTTCATTATGAGCACGTCTTACTTTTTATGGTTTTATGCTCTTTTCTTTATGAACATAGTATAATTTAACTGATATTGCTAGACTTTAGAACTTGATTTAAGATTCTTGCTGCAGTGAAATCCTTTCACAGGTACTTTTTGCATACAGCCATTAGCATAAAATTCTTTCAGAATAATTTCAGAATAAAGGATTCAGAAATCCTTTCACAGGTACTTTTTGCATACAGCCATTAGCATAAAATTCTTTCAGAATAATTGCTGGGTTTAGGGTATGTTTATTTTCAACTTTGGTATGTGTGGCTCAGTTGTCCTCCTAAAATACTTGACAGTCTGCACTCCCACCAACAGTGATTAGATGTCTGTTTCCAGCAGCAATTGGTTTAATAAATTTTAAATCTTTACCAATACAATAGGTGGGAAATATTTTTATTTTTATGGTTTTTATTAATTATGAATGAGATAGAATAGTTTTTTTTTAATTGCTGTAATTATCTTATGATCTACTTTAGAGTTTAAAAATCATTATATAACCATTTATGTTATGATTTACTTATTACTGTTTAACATTTCTTCTCAAACAAGGTATTTGGCTTGTGACTAAAAAGTGGCTCTGAAGAGTAACTCATTTGTATTTTTATTTACATATTTATTTTTAAAGATTTGGTTAATGAAGACCTTCCACATTTCAAGTCTGGATCACCTCCTGCCCCAAATGGCTTTAGACAATATGGGAATCCACATCTATATCATAGTCAAGGAAAAGGGCCGTGTAAGCATGACCGAATTGCCCATCAGAGTCGAGCTTCTGCACAAACATTAAGTTCAAGTAAATCCCAGATTCTTGCTTCAGGAGAGAAAATAACTGGCAAAGTTAAGAGTGACAGTGGTACTGGATATGATACAGACAGTAGCCAAGATTCTAGGGATAAAGGAAGCAGCTGTAATGGCAGCACTAAAAGCCGAAATCGAGGTTGGAAACCTATGAGAGAAACATTAAATGTTGATAGTATTTTTAATGAAAGTGAAAAAAGGCAGCATAGTCCAAGACATAAATCAAATATTAGTAACAAATCTAAATGTAGCAAAGATCAGAGTTTTAACAGTTGTCCAAAAGAGAATCCAAAGCAAAAATGTTTAATGACTATATATGAAGATGAAATGAAGCAGGAAACAGGAAGCAGGAGTTCCCTTGAATTTAATGGAAAAGGAGCAGAGAAAAATAAAGCCCTCAAAGAAACTAAAGTTCATGGTGACAATTGGCAGATGCAAAGGACAGAGTCTGGATATGAAAGCAGTGATCATATCAGTAATGGCTCTGCTAATTTGGAGTCACCTGTTATCGATGGAAATGGTACAGTGATGAATATCAGTGGAGTTAAAGAAACCTCATCCTTCAGGTAATACACAAGTTATGTGAATGATTTCCCCCCACCATTCTCTCTTTTTAGTTATTTGAAGTAACTTTCAAAGGTTGGGGTCAGTTAAATGAAAAGGAAAGAGCTTGAGCTCAGAGTATCCTGGGATATTGCAGGTTATTTGATATATCAAGTTTCTATTTTTAATAGTTATTTCTTGATTCCAAAAATAACAACTGTTTATTTTGGGAAAATTTAGAAAGTAAAATACATGATCATTGTGGCCACTAAAAACTATTGATGTATATATACTACAGGTTTTAAACCCTAGATTTAAATTGGTGTATCTCAGTCATTAAGCTAATTGTTTAATTCTTCAACCTAGTTAATGTTCATTATCCCATTTCTAACATCTGTAACTCAGAACTGGGGTTATTTTCTTCTGTCACAACCCAGTTCCATGAAAGAGATATTTTTCCTTTAGCAAGTATTAAAGAATACAGCCAAATAACTAAGTTTGTGTTCAATTAATTCTTAATTAATTCTGAAATCATTTATTATATTACTGTTAGCAGTCTATTTGCAGTTCTTTGTGTAACCTCTAAAACATATCTGCCACTTAGGTCAATTTAGCCACTATTTCTGCTCTTAATCTATCTAAAGCATCTTAATTTGATGTTAGCTGGTGTTTTATTACATTCATTATTGAAAAGCCAGATTTGCAAAAAGTGACCGCTCATGTTTTACCGAAATAATCACTATAATAAAGACTTGGGAAGCTTTTTTACTTTGCAGGGTAATTTCATAATACTTCTTCGAAAGGGGTAGCCTAGGGTATTAGAAAGATCAGAACTTTGTAATCAGATAGGCTTGGATTTTAATTATTGGGCAAATTAATTTGACTTTCACAGCCTTAATCTCCTATTGAAAAATGAGGATAATAACTCCTTTTAAGTATTTTAGGTTGTGAGATGTAAATTAATAATGTACATTAATCCCCTAGAACAGCACATGGTATATAATAATTGTTTAGCGAATGTTATTTCCTTTCTTTTTCTTGGGGTAAACTAAATAATAATCCATTATAGCTGATGTGTTTGGTGTGTGTTTTATTCTATTCTCTAGCAACCAGATTAAGACAAGCAATCTAAACATAGATCGTATGAACTATACCTCCCAACAGAGCAAAAACTACTTGGAAGGTAAAAATTTTATTTAAATATATTATCATAGTAGCAGTAAAGAATAAATCATGGTATTACGAGTAAAGAAGCTAAGGACAGTCCTGTTACTGATAAGTTTATGAGTAATGAGGATGGAAACTAGGAGAGTTTATGCTTAAAGTCTTAAAAGATGGGAATAGCTACTTCAGGGAGTAGGAAAAAGGGGGAGTGTGTTGTGAGGCTAGGCTAGGTTCTGGGCTGTGCAGTGGTAACAACTTGAAAATCTCCGTGTCTTAGTACAAGATTGTTTCTTGCTCACAGCACGTGTCCTGTGAATGTCAGCATGAAGTCTCTTCCTAGTAATCACTCAGGGCCTGAGGCTAATGGGACTCCATCTCTACCAGTACTTCTTTGATCATTGCAGTACTGTGGGGAGAGGAGATTGAAGGGGACACAACATAGTGAATCACATGTAAGCTCTTTAAACTTTCAACCCAGAAGTGATAAATGTGCTTCCACTCACATCTGACTGGCCAAGGCAAGTCTTAACAGCCAGGCCTAATTTCAAAGAGGGTGGAAAAGGGTAATTTGCTGGTGCACTGCAATATGTATGAACAGTCCTAATGTCTACCACAGGCGTTAAAGACAGATAGAAAAATTGATAAACAGCCTGCTAGAAAAGTTCACTTTGGAAACAGTAAATATGTAATGGTGTGACATTATTATAGGTGATTTGTTAGCAACACATAGAGGCCCAGAAGCAAAGAAAATTAGATGTTTGTATACAGAATTCGGCATTGTTACTGTGAGGTTATACCTGAAGGATTTGGGGAACAGGATCAAGGAAAATGATGAGCAATGGGATTATTGAGGTTGGAATCAAAGTCATTGTCTTCAAATTTTAGAATTCAGAGGATTAGAAGGGCTATAATTTTTCACGATAAAAAATAGCCATGAAGAACACATTTTAAAGTTTGTTTTTAGTCTTTATCATCCTTAAGGCTTTTGTGGAGATTATTTTTCAGGTTGCAGATATTGAATATGATTAGATGTTTAATTATTTTGTTTTCATCAAATGGTATAATATCAGAAGGAAACACTTATATTAAGGAAATAATCTTCCTTTCCCATATAAAATGTCTCGCCTGTTTAAAAAATCTGATAAAAGTCTGGTAACCAAGTATTACAGGAAACAGTAAAAGGCTGGCCAGAAATCAACAGCAGAAGTCAGTAGAAACTGAACAATAACTGCAAGTTCAGTGCTCTTTATAAAATGATGCTTGCTTCCTGATATTAATAAAAACACAAGGTCATAGAAATTTCGATGGTTAGGAGTGCTTTGCTATAATAGCTTTGTTCTGGGTTTCCCCACTTAATATGAAATAGTATGTATGTAGCCAATTAAAACTAATTTTTTTTATTGTGGTAAAATACACACCAGAGAATTTGTCATTCTAACCATTTTTAAGTTACAATTGTCTGATATTAAGTACATGTGCATTGTTTTGCCACCATCACTACCATCTATCTCCATAATTCTTTCATCTTCTCAAATTGAAACTGTACCCATTAAACAACTCCCCATTTACCCCTCCCCTGGCCCCTGCAGCCTCCATTCTACTTTCTGTCTCTTTCAATTTGACTACTCTAGGTACCTCATATAAGTGGAATCATGCAGTATTTGTCTTTTTGTGACTGGCTTATTTCACTTAGCACAACGTCTTCAGAATTCATCCATGTATCAGAATTTCATTCCTTTTAAGGCTGAATAATATTACATTATATGATGTAACACATTTTGTTTATCCATTCATCTGTTGATGGACAGTTTGGTTTTTTCTACCTTTTGGCTATTGTATATAATGCTCCTATGTATATTAGTGTACAAATATCTGAAATCCCTGCTTTCAGTTCTTTTGAGTATATACCCAGAAGCACAATTGCTAGATCCTGTGGCAATTCTGTTTAGTTTTTTGAGGAACCACCATTCTGTTTTCCACAGCAGCTGCACTATTTTACATTCCTACCAGCAGTGCAGAGGTTCCAAGTTCTTCACATCCTCACCAATACTTGTTATTTTCTGGGTTTTTTTTTGGAGAATTGCCATCCTAATGGCTGTGAAGTGGTATCTTGTTACGGTTTTATGTACCCCACGTTTTATTTAACTACATAAATTGCATTACATTAAAATTATTTCTTGTTTAATAAACTTCAAAGTCTACCATAGTTCTTTAAGCTAGTGTTTGCTTAGGGAAACTTTATTAATGTTCATGCCTTATGGTATCTGTATGTGTATTTCCCTCCCCTAGTCTTTGAAAACATGTTAAAGTGGGTATAGAAATTTTTTTTCCAAGCTAAAAACTGGCCCTGCATGGATTTTTTCCTTTTTTTCAGTAAGGCACAGTTTAATTTTTTGTGGCTTGGTATGATTTTCTTGGATTTCTCCTACTTCTTAATTATAAAATGGGGGTACATTTACATTATTGACCTGAAGAATCACTTTCTATCCATAGGTAAAAGACTTTTACAAAGTTAAGAAACCTTAGAAATTTTTTTATTTTCATATTTTGTTTGACATTTAAGTCAGCTTTCAATATTAGTCTGTACAAGTTTATGTGATGGTAGAGAACTTAAAATCTATAACAATGCCATTGTAATTATCTCACTGATAGTTTTTCATTGATAGAGATATTATATAGCCTGTTTAATTTATGGATTCTGCTGCAAACAAACATACCTACACTGCCTAAAGCTATTATTTGGGAACATTGTCGAAATTCCACAATGCCACTTAGATTATTTTAGCTCCTCTTTTAAAAATGGGTCACTAATGGGGAGAATGTCAAATGCCTTAAATTACATTCAAAACACAAGAAATGACATGTTCAAAAGCACATGGTCAGGAGAAACTATCACATATTGGAAGGAAACAGCTAGTTTGTTATATACAAGGCTGGGATGCATACCTGGAAATTGTGAGATGATGGTTAGAGGATAGAGAGAAGCCAAATCATGATGAAACTTTTAAGCTATTTTTAAATCCTAAAAAGTAAATGGAAAGGCACCTAAGGACAAGGAGAGTAGCGTACTCCAGTTTGCATTTAGAAAGGACTCTTTGGTGGCAGTGTAGGGGGTGAATTTGGAGCAGTGGGAGAAAAATTATTTAGATGAATACTTTAATAGCTTAGGAGAGAAAAGATGAGGGTATAAACTAAGGCAGTATCAATGTCAAGAAAGAAGATTTTAGAGATTATAAGAATGTGTGGACAGTGGAGTCACTTTCTGTGACAGATGTGCACAGTGAGGGAAAAGGGGAAAGCTGGGGGTGGCCGTTTTTGTGTCTTACATAAGTGGTTTCACCATTTACCAAATGGAGGAATATAGGAAGAAGGGACAAATTTGGGGGGTGAGAGAGGATGGCAAATTAGTTTTTGGATTTGTTTGGTTTGTCATCTAGGTAAGTAGACTAGTTAGGAACAAGTGTGTGGAATGCAGGAAAGATTATGTATTGGTAGCCATCAACGTATATGGGAATTGAATGCGGTAGACATGGACAACATCATGCAGGAAAATGGGAGATTTCAGGGAAAAAAAAATAGACAAAGGAAGAAACATGGGGTTTGCTGACTAAAAGAGATGAGCTAAGAGTAGAGAGAAGGAGCAACTTTGGAAAAGAATGAGGAGTAGCTGGAAAGTATGAGAAAATACAGGAGAGGGAGTTAGCACACGGAAACTGGGAAAATGGAGAGCTTCAAAAAGAAAGTGATCACAGATTAAGCAGAATAAGGATTAAAAAGTCCAAGTTTGGTTTAGCAGTTAGTAAGTCATTAGTGACCTAGTAAAAGCAGTATTAGAGGAACATTAGAATAGAAGGAACATTAGAATAGAAGCAAGATTGAGGTAGAACTGAAGTGTTTAGAAGTAAAGGGCCATGATGTTTGTAACTTACTCTCAAATGGTTCAGAAAAAAAAGTGGGGTAAAGTGTTAATAATAGGTGAATCTGAGTAAAGGATGTGCAGGTAGGTATATCTTTCAACTTCTCTGAACTTTATGAAATTATCTTCAAATTAAAAGTTTTTCAAAAAAGGTTACAGTAGAATAAAAAGTAAATAAGAGAAGTAAATAAATGCACGTCTGTCAAAACCCTTGCTGTGAATAGTAAAGAAGCCCTACCTAAAGGAGAAAAATGAAACCAAGAGCTTAGTTTTGCATTTATGTTACAGAGGGTAAGGAACTAATGATGTACAGAGGATGAGAAAGGTGTGAAGATAAGAATAGACCAGAACAGTAATTAATGGAGTAGGATCTCTGGAGGTAGAGTGAGAATGGAACTTCAAGGAAGCCTTTGAATTAAGGGAGTAGTAGTTTTTCTGTAATGGGAGAGATAAAGGTGAGTGTCGGTACCATTCAGTGTGTATTGTGTTAGATGAGTCAGTTGAAGGAGTTCATACCTAATGGACTCTTCTCTCTATGGAGTAAGGTTATCTACTGAATAAATATGTGTTCAGATATTTATGGATTGTAAATAACAAATCACAAAGGAATTATTAGGTCTTTCAAAAAACTTTTGCTATTTACTTTGGGATCTGTAATACTTGGCTTAATCTCAGTTAATCATAGAAGTCAGGGTTAGTTCAAGCTGAGAATTTTGATCTTGCAAATGACAAGGAAGAGTTGAAAGAAGTTAATCAGTGGTCAGAAAAATCTATTAATTCCCTTAATTCTTATTGTAAAAAAATCCGTACCTCCATTATGTTAAGTGAAATATACTACCCTTAATGTTGTTAAATCCTAAAATTAGTAAATGAAAAAAATTTTACTGGAAGAGTTTATTCGTATACGTAAGTTTATTTCCTCTAAGATGTTTTTTGCAAACTTCAGAGTATATTCATTTAGAGAGTATATCTGAAGAATGAGGTACTTTTCACAGTTGGTTTTGTTTCTGTGCATACCAAATTTATTTTCTCTAAGAGTTTCATAGACCATTGATAGGCACTGCTGTGGCCCAGCACCACCAAATGTTTATATGTTTTTTAAA